CTCTCTCTCTCTCTCTCTCTCTCTCTCTCTCTCTCTCTCTCTCTCTCGCTCGCTCGCTCACTCACTCACTCTCTCTCAATGAGACACACAGACACCAGATTCTCTGCCTCTGCCGCAGTGCAGGGCAGGGCCAGAGTATCTAAACCCATCCATTTACAATTCAGCCAGTTTGCTCTCAAAAAGGGGTGGTATAACAGGATTTAACAGGACATGATCACACAGCATCCCTTTTATCCTCACTATCTCTACAGAATATCCTGCTAAGACTGGCAATACAATTGAGATTTTTTTTCATATGATATTCTTTTATAGAAATATTAGAATTAGGGTTTATAATAAAGATCCTGAGAAACTTCAAATATATTTTTTTCTTATTTTACTTCTTGGTTTCTTTAACAAAATCCTCAGCCTTCAAACACATCGTCTGCATCATCACTTTACGCACACAGCGCCAGCAGCCGTTCACCCGAACAGTTCTTTCTTCTGTTCATTGAGGACTTAACACTATGTTGCAGCTCCTCCACCCTCCCCTCCCCCCACCTGTCTGTGTGACCCCTGACCCCAAACTCCCTCCTGTGGTTAAACCTACGACTCCCCTAGAGCTCTCTCTTGACCTTGTGTTTCCCTGGCAGCACCACCAATGAGCTCAGTCAAATGTGAGCAATTGTTTAATGCTCCCTGTGGCCACAGTGGCTAAGCACAAGTTGTGCTTCTGAAACTGGATGCTGTTTTTCAAAGGAATCGAGAAATCGCTCTGTTGTTTTTAGGACACATCTTTGTGCAATAACTGGGATGGACCAGAAACATGTCGGTGGCACAAGTAATGCAAATAGAGCAGATGTGGGCTGGATGAGTATTCATCGGTTTATTCTAATCCGTATACACTGTTTCTGAGTGTGAGCTTTGCCTCTGGTACATGTTTACTCACTTATATTTCCCAGAAGAGCACATTTCCTCTATCTTGTTTTCATGAAATGGCAGGTATTTGTTGGTAGAAAATAAAAATGCGTACATTTTTGTCTTTGGTCACATCATACAAGGGTTGTTATGTTGTGCATGACTTGACATGAAGTTTTAGTACTTTATGTATCTAGCCTACTAATGTCTCAATTTTGATATATAAGGACACTAGATGAAAACGCTGGTGTTGTGTTTGTTTCTAAGGTTGTGTTGGAGACTCTGTTGTGTGTGTTTTATACAGAGGATGTTCCCCACAGTGAGTGCGCCAATCCAAAACTTGCATCCAAAACATAATCACAGTAGACAAACACACGCACACACACACACACACACACACACACACAATATGCACATGCTCTATGCCCTTCTTTGTGATCACTGGGCAACCGCACACAAAGGCGAAGGCATGCTCTGCTGTGCACTATGTGCCACTGTCTGAGCATGAGAGGATGAGGAGGAGCACTGGGCCGCACACAAACACACACAAACACACACAAACACACACACAGTGGATTTGGCAACAGGCCACATCCTACGTGTGTCTGCACAAGCCAAAATAACATGGAGGCATCCAGTACATCACCGATAAGCGCTGTCCTCTCAGCTGTGCCAGTTCAGGGTCCGATGCTTTGTCCTTCATGCTGATTAAAATGTTAGATCGGGTAAGCTGCGGAAGACTGAGAGCACAGCAGTGATAATTACTCCATAATTACACCATATTGTGTTTCTGCTGTGTTTCACCACCATCATTTTACTTTTTACTCAGTGAGCGAAAGACCTACATCAAAGTACTGAATCCAAATCTGGCGGCCTCAGCAGATGGATGAACCTGCTGTATAACTCAGAGGGAAAACATTAGCAGCCATTAAAAGGACCAGTGCATTCCTCCAAAGAGAGCATGTCTCCATCAGTGATTAGAGTGCATGCATGTTCGTGCATGTGTGCAACTGTTTTCCCTTCGGTCCCTGCAGCTATGAGAGAAGTATTAGCAGTGGGGGGAAGGATGGGAGAGAGACAAAGAGGAGGCCAAGGCCACTACAGACAGCACTCTGCTCATTTTTTGTCTTCGCCACTCCTCTTTAGGGAACCATGGCTACCGGCGGGAGCATGTGCCTTTAGTGGTTTGAGAGAGTGTGAGGTGTGTGTTCGGCTTAGTCCGGGATGCACGTGGGTCCAGAGGGCCCTCCCACTGAGCATTAACTCTCCTGCTCCTTCCTGGGGGGGGGTTGGGATGAAAGAAATGAGGAGCACAGGCCGAGGGGGAGGGTGTGCGGGAAGAGATTGGAGGATATCTTCAAAAGACTAATATCTTTAAGTCTCAACCTAATTTCAATTTTACTTCAAATCGAAGTGGACTTTAAAGAGGGAAATGCTTTATGTTAGCCGTGCTGCAACAAATTCGAACACTGGAGTGTTAAAGAGAAACACTACGGCCGAGCAATGACATTGATCCTTAGTGACAGGGGAGCTGTAAAGCACTGACAATACACACAGTAGGGATGTTCTTGCATGTACATACTCAAAGGGGGAGCTGAAGCATAAAGCCCATGCAGATTACATAAGCACTGCATTGGGAAGAGGTCTTTGGTGTCAGGCAGCATCAACAGGAAGCTGAAACGAGCTCAGTTGCAGCTACGATGTGAAGATCAAACGGAGGAAACATACGAGAGGCTTGCTCACTCTTTCTAGCAAAGCTGTGTTTTCAGTGTAATTATTTCAATGGAATTCGATGTGCTGATCTGCAACAATGTTGTCATGACAACAGGTAGCGTTTTTATCTGCGATAAAAAGCCTTTTTTTATGAACTAAAGGAAGAGGCAGATGTAAAATGCATGCATTTTTTTTTGGGGGGGGGGGGAGCAGTTGAACTGCGCAGGTGCCTTTTCCCAGAAAACGTACCAGTCCTGTTTTACGATCTAACTGCAGTGTGCATCCTCTTGTCTTACAGTGTAACAGAGGTGTCAAGAGCCTGGAGCAGATTTACAGTGTAAGCCTCAGTCACTGACTCACAGCAGTATTTTCCGCTGCACATGCAGTGCAGATACTGAAGCAACACTATGATACATATGAGACAGCTGATGAACTTAGCAAACATGTCCTGCATGCCAGAGTCTGGTTGGATATGGCTGCCAACCTAAGCATCCATGCAGCCTCCGCTAATCCAACAGTATACAAGACAGAGGCACACATTAGTAGACGTTCTGGCTCTGTGGAATTGTCACAATTGCGCTAACTTCTGCAAATATTCACTTTACTTCTCAAATATTTAGATTACGCAAATGAAATAAATAAATGTGTCACAAACATAGACTCACACAACAATAACATTTTGCAGATGCACAGGTCAATGTTCACATTTGTCAGACCAGCAGCCTGCAAAGTGCAGCATCACTATCAAGCAGCGCGGTTTAGCACAGCAGTAGTGCATGGTTTCATATTTGAAATCACACGCTAAATGTTTTAGTTCGGCATTCTATATTTAACTCGTGGCCCTGTTTGGGAATGCATCATCACCTGGAAAAAGGGGAAAAAAAGAGAAGTTTTCAATCAATGCTTGGTCTAGATACTGGAATGTAGTCTGTTACTATGCAACACATCAGCTCCAAAGATATTCCCGTGGAGGATTTTCATCCGCCCTCTGTCTGTGTCCTCCCTCCCAAAGCTGTTTCTTCTTTTTCCTCTGTTTCTTCCTCCCCATCCTTTTGACTCACATATTCCAAGGTTTTTGATTCACAGCTGCTTTGGAGGCATCTTTGATAAGTAAATATGCATTTCTCCCCCCCCCCCCAGTTTCTATCCCTCCTGCCTTGATACTGTCTGTAGAAGGCTTAGAGGCACCTTTGTGACAGGAATCCGTATGCCACACTGGCTATATTTATATTCTCACTCTCTCCCTCTCTCTCTAATAACTGAGATGGCTTTTGATGTGAGAGCTCTTGAGTGGAGATGAAATATTCATAGTTATACATTGCGTTTGATTAAGGTGTCATCATATTACGTTATACACACATAATTGTTTAGTGATATTTAAAAAACTTTTTTTTTAAATCTTGCAAATCATGAAATTAAGTTGGCAATCTGGGACTTTAATTGTGTTTGAAGTAGATTTAAATAAATACAGTATGTATGTCAGGAACTTAACTGAATTTTGATTATGAAAATCCTCAAAGACAAATCCCCAGATTCTTGATTGAGATTTTTGACTCATTCTGATTTATGTATCATACCAGGACACACTTTAGCAAGACGGTGATACTCACACAACATTCTCAACTCCTGCTCTAATTATCTGACATGATTAAGCTTTTTGTTCACTTTTATTATTCACCGGCTAAACTGCTGAGTGAGCTGTTTGCTGCGATAAGGTGCAGCTGCTCCATTTACTAATTGTAAGAGGTCCTGCTCGGCCCTCTGGAAGTGTGACGTCTTTACATCAACAAACCGCAGGTGAAACAAGGTACCCACTTCATAACTGCAGGGATTGTCTCGTCTTCACCGCAGTTAACCTTGAGACACATAAAAGCACTGGTTAGAGACTGGTATTACATGTCCGGTTGTTCTGCATGTTTAGCCTGATAGAGGCTCAACCTAAAATATAGTATCAAAAATAGTTTCAACATCATGGGTAAATAAAATCTTTGTGCGTCAGCAGGTGCACTCAGCTGCAGCAGAGAATGCTTTTTCAGCCTACACTTTGGCACAGCAATATAAAATATACAGTGTCTTGCAAAAGTATTCACTCCCCTTGGTGTGTTTCCTATGTTGTTGCATTACAACCTGGAATTAATTCATTTCATGTGATGGACCTACACAAAATAGTAAAACTTGGTGAAGTGAAAAAAAACACTGCTTCCTTAAAGAAAAAAATAACAAAACACATTTGGAGTTTGCCAAAAGGTATATGGGAGACTCCAAATGTGTTTTGCAGCACTGGGGAGTGTACGGCTTTAAGTGGTCATATGGAGATACTTGAATCTCCGCTGTGTAGCTTTCCAGCTCCTTCAGGGTCTCTTTGGTCTGCTGTTTTCTCTCTGATTAATGTCTTCCTTGCCCGGTCCATGGTGCTCCTCTCTTGGCAGGTTGGTTGCGGTGCCAAAATCTTTCCATTTTGTAATAATGTATTTAATGACTCTCCATTAGATCATGTGACAGTCACATGACACTTAGATTGCACACAGGTGGACTTTATTTAAATGTGACTTCTGAAGCTAATTGGTAGCATCAGATCTCATTTAGGGGCTTCATAAAGGCGCTGAATATATATATGCATGCACCACACTCAGTTTTTTAGTTTTTAGATATATTTAAAACAAGTTTTTTTTTTTCATTTCACACTTATTCTGACTATTTTGTGTTGGTTGGTCCATTAGATAAAATCTCAACAAAAAATCTTTGATTCCAGGTTATAATGCAGCAAAAGAGGATAAACGCCAAGTGGGGTGAATACTTTTTGAAGGCACTGTACAATTCAAGCACATTTTTTTGTGCCTGAACAAATTCTGGGCATGCTTGTTCACAGGTTTGTGCCTGAGCCCAAATCTTGATATAATAATGATGCTTTCTCTGTGGCCTCTGCAATTTGCCAATTCTTCAGAAAACAACAAATTACATTAGCCCTTCTGTAGTCTATAGGTTTAAATACATGGGGATGAAATCCAAACACAGGATTTGATATGTAATTTTGACTCCTAATTTTGGATTTATAGAGCAAACTGTACTTCCTATTCACGTGTACATGTATGTCAAGGTATGCCGAACTAGAGATCTGCTCTATATGAATGAGGTAAAAGGGCTCATTGCTATTCAAGCAGGATCATAACTGGTGCCTACAAAGTCTCGTTGGGGAACACATACAGTATAGGTGCCACTGGATACAACCTTCCTAATATACCATCCTGCATCAATACTTGAAATCCACATTATCACTAACTGATTATGGATACATTACTGTCTGAAGTCTCTTCAGAGGGACACATTTCTGCCAGCATCAGTCTGCTTTTTGTCATAAAAAATAAACATTTTATCCACTAATGTGAAAAAAAAAAGCTCCAGACAGCTGTTGCAGTTGCTCAAAAGAAAGATGGGCTTTGGTTGAGATTCTCGTGACAGAAAGGTCATGCTAGTTGCCATGACAGCCACAGCTAATTGCGCTTACATGAGGCAGTCTGAGAGTGGATGGCCAAGGCCGAGGACGCAGACAGGAAAGACAACAAAAGAGTTTGGCCTTCCTAAATGCACCCAGAAAATATGTCCTAAAATGTATTTGCAGCAGATTTTGTTCAGCTGTTGTCTAATATTTTCATGTTGCTATGCAGCCTGTTATTGCCGTTTCACACAAATTAGATTATGAGGTTGGGTTTTGTGTTTGATATGAACAAAAACACTTATATAAGCATGTAAACAACTAACTGATTTAAGTTTTGGTAATTACAGGACATTTTAATCTCTCTTACAGAGGACAGATGATGGAGCTGCTATACTCATATCTCGGCTGTCGCTAATGAAGAACAGCTTGAGCAGAGCATTCAATCTGTGACGTTGACAACCCAGCCAAAGACCCCGATAGTTGCCAGCTCGGCTGTTGTGTCCTGTCTGTAAGGTAAGTCAGTAAATCTGTCAGCGTTACTAAGAAAAGCAGAGGGTCTGTTCCGCTAAATCAGGCAGACAAAAAGCCGTGTAGCCCCGGCTATGAATCAGAGAAGAGAATGTAAGAAACTGCCTCGATAAACACACACAAGTCTTCACTAGTGCATATCCGTACTGTATGCACAGATGCAGTCAAGGGCACCAGACAAAAGCCACAGAAGCACAAGTACCCACACACCCACCTTCACTTTGCTGTTCTTAAGCAAACAGCCTCAGGCTCAGTGAATGAGCATGTCAGCGGTGGGCTGACATTCTGTCACACAGAGTGGGGTATAGAAACAGATGCCTCCTCCTGTCAATTTACATACAAACACAGCCTGAAATATCCTTGTACGTCCCTCCAAGATTTGGATATGAATACTTTTAATTCAGAGTAGACAGAAAATCTGTATTTCTATCAACCTTGGAATTAAAACAGGAAACTGTGTTAAGATATAAAAAAAACATATACCTTCAAAAGGTATACAAAAGTAGGGTACGTCTGGTGGAGTTGATCCTCATTACAGTGAAGGGAGACAAAGAGTAGCGCGCTCTGCACCCAGATAGACAGGTATTTCTGTGATAGGGTGGCTTTACCACCAGAGGATGAGAGGATGAGGAGGCAGGCAGGCAATGTGCCAGGGCTCTCCCCGCAGCCAGAGACACTCTAATTAAGGAGCGCAGTGGGGAGAGGGGGCGAGAACAACAGCTCTGCATTGTCACATAATGATTTTCTTATCATCTCTAGTACAGGAAATGCTGCACATCTCTCGTCTGAAGGGCATGCACGTCTGCGTGTTTGTTGGGAGCCCCTCCTGAGTAGCCGTCTACAGTCACACCTAGAAACATGAAATCACCAAAGCCGTGGTACTATTTCCAGTGCCTGACGGGGAGAATATTAAAGTCATCCTGCCACAACAGAGCAGAGCGACGCTTGATGGAAATGAATGTAAGCAGCTACAGATGCATCGGTCGTAATCCATACACTAAGGTGCTTATTTTCAGTCTGTCATCAATCCATTTTATAGAGGCGGCTTGTCACTAGCCATTTACATTGATGTTGAATCCACCCACAATATTGCTCTGCATAATCAGTGATACATATTTATACCTCTGGTTACATTTGTGTAATTATTTGCACCTATTCAGATGTCCAGATGGACAATGACAGGGAAGGCAAACACCTGCAGAGAAGGGCAAACAGTCATTCAATTTCAATGTAAATTCTGGACGCAAAGTCTTTTTAAGTGCAAACAAAAAGCCAATACAATTTTCTTGCAGTTTAAACAATATATTTTGCACTTGAACAATAATGCCTGAAGAAATATAGTCAGGTGGGAGGATGTCTTCATTTGGAAAATGTCTTCAGCAGTTCACATGGAATATTATGTGTTCAAAAGTAGGTTACATTTCCAGAGAACCTCTCTGGATGTTCACTACTCAATTTTCTTTTTGTGTCACAATCTGCTCCACTGCGTAGAGACAGTTTTCTAGTCCGCCACTTTCAGTCAATCTTCTGTTAAAATGTCTAAAACATAGTAATAATTCAAAATAAAATATGCAAATATCTACTGAAATATTCATGAAGTTGTATCAGGTATGTGCTACTACAGCAGAAAGGAAAATAATTAGTAGATTAAAAAAAAACATAGACAACAGTTAATAGAAATCAGGGACGAGAGAGGAAAAAGGATGATGATAAGTAATGAGTGGAGTGGACTGATGAATTATGTGAGAAAAGGCAAGTGTGGGGGGTTAGATTTGACCAGATGGGTCCTGGTCTGCTTTGTGAGAGCACCAGATGCCCTGAGATCCTGGGCCACAGAAATGCCTCCAGCCGCTAAACACCAGAGTGCTAAAGAGGCCGAGCCCAGTAACTCCGCCTTGTCACATGTGCACTCTTTCTGATATAGAAGTATAGGTTAAAAGGTATTTTCCTCTTCCCATAACTCTGTACTGTTGCCACTAAGAAGAAGATCATCTGGATATACTTCATTTCAGTTGTACCTTGGTCAAATGGATGCTGGTCAGAGAGCCTGGCGAAAAGCAAAAACAGAGCTCGTGTGTCCTGCATTAAAAGAGACGTGAGCCAATACAAATGCTTTTTTCCTTTTTATTTGTGCTAGTGATGCCGAGGACACTTGTTACACATTTAACATTAAATCCATCAACAGATGAGCCTTGACTTATTTTATTTTTGTTGACCTTTCAATTGAATCTGCTGCTGTCTGTGCATGTCACTACCACAAGTCATCTCGAGTCTTTAGTACGCTACTGCTAAAACTCCCCCGAACACCATAGAAACACATGACTCATCATCTATAGCAGATGCTCTGCTCCTCTCACTGACTTTGGGCGATGAGGTTTGGGAGGTGCTGCAGGACGTTGGGTTTGTGATGATGATACAGCTGCATACCAAGCAGACGCCATCACATGGTCTTCCTATGAGAGAGCATCACCCTCTAGTGGAACGGACAGGCAAAAGACAGGACTGAAATATATCAAAGATGTTTTTGGACTAAAACATTTAGGATAGATACATGACTGGACTTCAGATAACTCCTTTTGTTGGCCACTAATACATTGAATGATGTCATATAAAGGCACATAATGAATTAAGATGTATTAAAGGTGCCGTATGATAAGACAAATATTCTATATGTTGGTTATTGTCAATCTGTCAATACTTTCTGACTTCCCCTTCCTGTCCATGTCACTCATCCCTGAGCCAATTCTGTATTACTGGAGATATAAATCTTTAAATATGTTACACTGTATGTATTTTAATTTTAAACACTGGTAAAGTATTCCCTAAAACAGCTGGATACTGTAGTTTTGAGCTAATGTTACTCAAACAGGAGTACATGGTGTATTTGTTGGGGACTATTTTCAGCTGTGAATGTGGTGAGTTAGTAAATATTACCAGCAGCTGAACTGTGTATGTGGGATCACCTTGATACAAACTACAGTTTCCGTGTTCATTGTAATGAAGGAACATGTCCTCTATATTTGTATTAGGTTTTGGACAACAATGGCTTTGACTACACATCCAAAACAATTGGTTTTCTGTGAGATCTATGGCAATAAAAAAAGAAATACAAAATATCACATGATGCTTTAAACAGAATACCCTGACATTGCCAAAAACACTATGATCCCTCATTTCCCTAGGAAACTTAACCTAATAATTTCACAGGTGACAAGTGCTTGCACCTGCTCTGTCTCCTATGCCTGCTTTGGTTTTTGCATAGTTGGTTGAACGTTTAAAACATTTTTGTGAATAACCACTAACCTTCATAGAATAAAAACATCTCAGTGATGATGATCCCTGCTTGAGGACTGCAAAACATGCAGACCTGAAATCAGAGACTTTGTAAAAATACAAAGAGTCAAATCTATTTGAAGGATGTCTTCTGATGATCTTCACCCATCAATCATCCTGTGTTACTCCTTTAAGACGAAGCTCCTCTTGAACCCTGAACAAATATTCTGGATCTGGATATCCAAAACTGGAATGGAGAAAGACAAACAAACGTAAAAATGTAGTAAGTACATCTCTGGAACAAGGATAAAAAATGTCCTTTTAGTTTACTGAACCTGTATTTTTTATGTATTTAATGACATTACATCCGGAAAGGCTTTGCAAGACCTAAGGTTGTGGAATTTACTCCTCCCACTTAGAACTACCTAATGTAAAATTTGGTAGACATCTCAATTTTTCTTTTTAACTTTGGTGATCCCATTACTTTAAATATAGTGCCATCAGCAGGTCAAAATTATTATTTTTCCAATATTCTGGTTTATGACCAAATTGTTGCGAAGAGTAGGTCTGGAGGCTGAGCTGTCTGAGGAGGACCAGCAAGTGGAAGGGGCCTGGCTAGATCAGAGTCTTTATACATGGGACTGGGTTCAGGTGTGAGCCTTTTACACTATCTGCAGCAGAACACCGGACTCTCTACTGGAAACAACTGTTTGTCTGAGGGAAAATGTGAGTTTCCCTGCTCTTAGTATACCTATGTTTGCAGTACCTTGATGCTTGAGTTATTTAAGTAGGAATGATGAATGATGTTAATTCTTCTTGGTTATATAGTAGCCAAGTATTTGCTTATAAAATAAATTGTATAGTGATAATACATGCAACATATTCTCTGTTTAGAAAAAAACAGCATTGAATGCGTCAGCCTCACCTGCCCCACCACCTGTTGTCTACAATAGCTCGCAATTGAAGTGGACTCTTCCGGCATACCCCTCGTACAGTCATGACAGTCATTCTACACCCGATACTAATCAAATTCCCATCAGCCTTAGCTGTACATTGTGTTTTACTGGTGTGCTAGCATGACTGTATAAATCACTAAAAATAAGTGCGAGTAAGCATTTATGAAAAACTATACCTAATTAGATTGTGATAAGAGAAACTTAAAATCTTACATTATTGTCTGTTCACTTATGGGGAAAAAGAAATATATATATATATGCATACCATTGTGGACCACCATCCATGTTGGTCTTGTGGTGAATGTCATTCCAGGTGATGACGTTATTGAGGCCCGTGGTGACAGATTGTCCAATGGTGAAGGTGAGTCTCCTGTCGAAGGCTTTCCTCAGCAGCTTCAGGACTTTTTCACCCTCCTCGCTGGCTGGTAGGAAGCCAGTACGGGAGGTGCTGCTGTACCTCACCCCAGGGTTTGGGTGTTCAGGCTGTAATATGGGAAACAGCAGCATAGATGTCACATACACTGATCAACAGTTGTAATAACACTTAAATTGTGGGTATACAGATTTACATGACCAAGGCACTGATGCATTTTGTAATACGATATCTGTATTATAGATTATGAGGTAAAGCTTATTCTCACATCTCCCTATAAGGAAATTACAAGGACACATTTTGGGATTGTTTCTACTGTTACAATTGGTAAAAATAAAAAAAAAGGCCGACTTCTACTACTGGGAGGCAGTCCTTGTGTTGGTACTGCATCTGATATACGGGCTCAGAACGCATTCCCTTAAACAGATGCTTCAGAAACGTTAAGACGCCTTCAGCGTTGCACAACATCCAAAACTATTACTACTCCTAGTACACACACACACACACACACACACACACACACACACACACACACACA